GATGACTAATTTATTAAGGGGTGCAATGAAAAGACAAAGTCACAGATACACAGCAACGGTATAATCTGCCACAGTGAGGAATGAGAACCCCTTGGGTCTGTACCGTGTGTGCGCATGTGCACTACACAACATGAATGATACAACTGTGTACCACACTGTGCATATATGTAATCAGACATCTGAGAGTGTATGTGTGAGAGTGCACACATATCTCATTCCAGATCTTCTTTCTCACTGGTCATGTGGTCTTTACCTCTGCTCCTATTTGTGCTCACAGCTATACCAACATTCCTAAGTTTATTGGCTACCGTTCTTTTTGCCTTCCCTGAATCCTGTTCCCTTTCTTTGGGGTCAGCTCCTTTACCTACTTCTGCAAGAATTCTTCCTTCAAGTGGTTTTGGTGGGACTGTCCAGCAGGTGAATGGAACATGGCTGGAGTTGGGACACAGATCCACTATCCCACTGCAGTCTATTCTAGTTTACTTTCTATCGCTGTGACAGATACCATGACCAACAGCAATCTGGGTGGAAATGGGTTTGTTTCAGCTTACAGCTTATAGTCCATTGGGAAGAGAAGTCAAGGCAGGAATTCAAGAAACAAACCTGTAGGCAGGATCAGCAGAGCCCATGGAAGCCCATGTTTAATGGACTCTTCTCCATGGCTTGCTCAGCTTGCTCTTCTATACAACTCAGGACCACTTGATCAAGAGGAACAGCATCCACAGTGGGCTAGGTCCTCCCCGTTAAGTCCCACAACTTGCCTACAAGCCAATGTATTTCTTTACTTTCTATTTTATTTCACAGTATGTGTGTGAGTGTTTTGCCTGCATGTGTGTCTACACAAGTCTTATGTGCCTGGTGCCCAGAAAAGGACATCAGATCTCCTGGAAGTGCAGTTACAGGTGCTTGTGAGCTTTACAAACCCAGGTCCTCAAGTGCTCTGAACCACTAAACCATCTCTCCAGCCCCCTACAGGGGAATCTTATGGAGGCATTTTCTCAGTTAAGCTTAGACCTGAACTTATATCAAGCATCAAAATGACAACAACAAAAAAAAAACCAAGAAAACTAACCAACACACCCAAGCACACAGCTCTTTATCAAATTCTGTCCAGTTCTTATTCCCAGACCCCAAGAATCACCTGCCTAATGCTTGCTATTGACTCTATTATCGGCCTTCCCATAAAGATATTTTGGCTGAAATTAACCAAAATTGGTTTCTTGTACTTTGCAAATACTGACAAATATGGATGTCCCATTTTCACTACACAGAGGCTCTGTAGGTATGTGTGATCTGTCTCACTATTTCAGGTTGCTGATAGCAGAGATGGGAAAAGGTGCACCTCAGACTTAGTCAACAGCAATCAATACAATCTTCTTAGGCAAACAGTGACATCACAGGGAGCACTTCCATGTAAAGTTTAAGGAAGCCACATTCCTAGGTGTCTACATTCCATTCCTTGCTAACAGAGAAGACAGAGCATGTGTTTTACAAAATACTACCTGGTTCTATTGAGTGTGCTTCTTCCAGGTCCCCCCTCCCCATAGTCTCTGCACAGTCAAGTCCCTAAATGAGCTCACAAAAACACAGTGCTAGCTCACCCTGGTCCACCAGAACTTAGATGGGCCCACCAAAGTCAAAAGATTGGATGTGGTTCAGGTGACAGGGTATTCGAGACACAGCTGCTAAGACACAACTGTGAATTCACTGCAAATCACACAGCTGCTTTTGAAAACATGCTGTTGAAATTCTATCCAAGGGAAGAGCACTGACAGTGGGGGAGGAGAGCAAGCCCGTGTTGACAGATTTTACGATTCTTAAGTCAGGCCCAACTCTGTGTATGGACCAGATGTGTCCTTCTTCCTGGACAGGCTCCACATGGCAAACAGGAACACTGGTTCTACAGCTGCTTAGGCCAGCCTCATTTATCAAAAGTGTCCATGTGATCAGGTAACAAATCCCACCAATTTGTCATATGCTTGTCCCAAATGTAAAAGCCAATCATTTCATTAGAAGGATTGTTGACAAATGAAGAAGTTGCTGTGGACATAAAATATAAAACATAATTCGGTCCCATTAATGTTTCTGGATGCTAATTTGGATTCAGACCCATGTGAAGCCATTCCAAGTATATCATTAGTGTCCCTGATTTACAGATCAGGCAGCTGCTTCCTAGACAGGCAAACTCACATGCCACAATGACACTGCCTATACTCAAGGACACAATGCTGAGCTGAAAGTAATTAAAATGATGCCCAGCTTTAAACACTGACTCTTGATACTGTGAAGTCCAAAACTGAAGACTGGGGCTGAGTGTGGGACAGTGGCAAAGCATTTAGGCAGCACATCACATTCTCTGTCTCTGTCTCTGTCTCTGTCTCTGTCTCTGTCTCTCTCTCTCTCTCTCTCTCTCTCACACACACACACACACACACACACACACACACACACTGAAGAGGACAGTCCTAACACTCACTCACCAAAGGCCTGATTTCTTCTCACCCTTCCTGTCTGTCTCATCACTGATGAGTCAATTTCTCCTCAGAGGAGGAGGAAGACTGAAGAACTGCTGTCCATACCCATATTCAAAACGGAAAGAGGAAAAAATGCTCCTTTCCCAGAATGCCCTATCAAACTCCTTCTCCAGTCCAATGAGAGTAACTGGGACTCCAAAATATCTTATGATGCCTATTCTTGGTTGTCATTTTGACTACATCTGGATTTAATTAAAACCCAAATGGCTGGGTAAACCTGAGAGGGATTTTTTCTTTCAAATAATCATTTGAAGGGGGAAGACCCAATTTTAATATTGATTTCTGAGGTGGGAAGATAAACCTTCAATCCATATCTTTTGAGGTGAGAAGGTCCACCTTTAATCTAGACCACACCTTCTACTGGAAGCCTATATAATGGACATGGAGCAAGGAAGCTCTTTCTCTTTGCCTGCTTGCTCTCACCCTTGCTAGCAAGTTCATTCCTTCACTGGCATTAGAGCCTACTTCCAGCATATACTGAAAAGCAGCTGAGACATCCAGCCTTACTGACTGAACAACTGCTGTATTCTAGGGCCTTACATTCATTAGCAGCAATTGTTGGACTAGCTGAACCACAGTGTATGAGAGAGAGACAGAGACAGACAGACAGACACACACAGAGAGAGAGAGAGAGAGAGACAGAGAGACAGAGACAGAGACAGAGAGAGACTCATTCAATCTGTAAGTTCTGTTACTCTAGAGAAACTTGGCTAATACATACCCTCAACTGTGTCATTGATATGTTCCCTGCAGTCAGAGATATCTCTAATCTCCCCAAACTCAAGGGCTACAGATAGAATAAAAATCAAGTTCTTTTTCAAGAAAAGTCCTAGGGCCTATCACTACCTACCTCCAGGTTTATAAAGCCATTTTGGTGTAACTATTACTCCGAAGACACTCAGCAATCCAACTTCTTTCAATAATGAAAACTTTTCTCCTACTTGACTGCAGTGGGGGAGTGGCCTATATTAAGTAGCCTATCTGGTTTCTTAAGTCTATAAGCAAAGGTTACCTTAGGAACATGAACAAAAGGACCCAAGAGATTGCCAACAAAATACAGTACTTCATTTAACCTAGTCACTTCCAGGGGGTTCTCCCAGCCGGATAGATGAAGCAGAGAACCGTGTGCCTCGGGAAAATGAGCTTTTCGGGTTTTGTGTTACCCTCGGCAGTTTCTAAAGTTCCTACACTAAATGGTTCCATTCTAACGCTAAGTGTCAAGACTGCCCCGGCCGGGCGGTTTTGGTACATGCCTTTAATCCCAGCACTCGGGAGGCAGAGGCAGGCGGATCTCTGTGAGTTCGAGACCAGCCTGGTCTACAAGAGCTAGTTACAAAGCCACAAAGAAACCCTGTCTTAAAAACAAGCAAACAAACAAACAAACAAACAAGACTGCTCCAGATTAACCATATCAAACTTACAGGCGGAGGAACGGTTCGCCACAGCTAGAGCTAGCGGGGAACTCAACTCTAAGTGGCTTTATCTAAGAAAGGGTGCGTCAGATAAGATGACTGAGCCCATGGACTTCCACAGGACTCCCTCACTTAGCTTTCCACTCGGGCTCCAATACTGCGGGCGTCCTATACACTAGGTTCGGTCCAGAGCTTTACTGCAGCCATGCTGCTGTCTCCCTAGATGGCGTCAAGCCGTGAGTCTTCACAAAGAACCAACACAGACTGACGAAGGGAGGCAGACGCGCCCAAGCCGCACTGCTCTCGGCAGCCAAGTCTTCCGCTGCTAACAGCGTAGCCCCGCCCCCCTCTCACGCTCTCCAATCGAAGCTCCCTCAGCCGGAACTTCTCCCTTAGTGACGGCCCCGGAAGCCACACAGTTTTTGCAGCCGCACCTGGGCGGAGCCAGCCTTTCTACTGGCTCCCCCCCCCCCCCCCCCCCCCCACACGGAGAACCGTTTGGACGCGAGACCTTCGCGCCTGCGTAGAACGCAGCACGCCGCGCGCGGGATAGCTGCTACCCGCGACCAACCGTTCCCCGTCTCCAGGACGCCGGCGCCTCAGGCGGAGCCTCTGGGAGGAAGAGGAGGGCAGGAGCGTAAATCTTCTGGCCCGGGACTGCGGCCGGGGCGGGACCCGGGACCGAGTCGCCTTGGAGGCGCTGACCGGGGCGGAGCAGGTAGGTGGCCGCCCCTGTCTGGCTGCGCGGTGGCCGGAGGGACCCCTTGCCTCCCCTCAGGCTCAGTAAGACCCGGGTGGTGTCTTTCCCCCACGTGGTGTCTTTGCAGCTGGGCATCAGGCTTTTTGCTGTGTACAACGGTGGCGGTGAGTTTGCCCTGCCCGGAGGAGAGCAGCAGTTTGGGGCCGGATGATGGCTCTAAAGAGCGTGCTGCCATCTGCCAGCGGCTTTGATAAGCGACGCCCGGCTGAACCTCAGTGAGGCCCGAGACACGGCTGCGGCTCCTGGGGTCCAGCTCCAGGAAGCTAGAGTATGGACCGCGGACTGGGGCATCCTCCTGGCTTCTCGCTCTACTGTGTTTCGGTCTTACTGTTTTCCCCTGGTGTGAGAGAGCTGAGCAGGTTCTGTGGGTAGCTGAGGACCAGAAGTAGGGGTGATCGATCATCCTTTGAGGGCGTGACCATTGTTGGATTGTGTTTGGAGGAAGCAGAAGAGAAAAAGTCAACCGGGAGCATCGTGGTCTAAAGGAAGCTGCGTTTGATGAGCTGGTTGGGCAGAGAGAAATGTGGCTACTTGGGAGGACATTCCCAGGCCGGCATCCCTGGAGCTGTCTTCATATAGACCTACTCTCAAAAGTCCAAAGAGGGCAACATGGCCTTGACCCCCTCGATTTTCCTAGATCGGCCTTGAGTCGACCAAGAGTGTGCAAGTTCCTCTTCCTTCTTAGTAAAGTTGTCACAGGGATACCCATGTGTGCAGCGATTGAGGGCATGATCCTAAACTACTTAAACACACAACACTTCAGACTGATTGTTGAGTCTTCAGTCTGAGGTTCTTGGAGAGAATGCAAAGAGCAAACTTTTTTTTAAGATTTTTTTATTTATTATGTATACAATGTTCTGCCTGCATGTATGCCTGCAGGCTGGAAGAGGGCACCGGATCTCATTGTAGATGGTTGTGAGCCATCATGTGGTTGCTGGAAATTGAACTCAGGACCTCTGGAAGAGCAGTCTTAACTTCTGAGCCATCTCTCCAGCCGGCAAAGAGCAATCTTAAACTGGCTCTGAACTGCACATCGTTAGGACCAGCTTCCTCCCAGCCCTGTGTGGAATCATCGTTCGTAAGCTGATAGTTTAAAAAAAAAAATAGAGAAAAGTTGGGTCGGGCACACCTTTCGTCCCAGCAGAGGCAGGTGGATCTCTGAGTTCAAGGCCAGCCTGGTCTACATAGCAAGCTCCAGAAATACATAGAGAGACCCAGTGTCAATAAAATAAGGGTACTTGAAATAAAAAAAGAAGTTCTAAGCTTACTCACTAGAGACCCTGTTTCTGGAAATTGACAAATAATATAAATTACTTGTGTCTACTATTTTAAGTAAAATTATACTGGTTTCTTTTAAATGAAAATTTTTAATCATAGAAGAAATTAACAGTCAAACCTGTTAGGAAAAAAATATGCTGTTTATGTGTTAGAACTTAAATTTTTTAGGGAGCTGTGATCTTTCAGATATAAATAAAACTGTGCCCATCCCCTCCCCATTAGAATCTTTGAGCTATGCAGTGGAGGCACACACCTTTTATCCCAGCACTCAGGAGGGAGAGGCAGGTGGATCTCTGTGAGTTCAAGCCTGGTTTACAGATCAAGCTCCAGAACAGGCTTCAAAGGTACACAGAGAAACCCTGTCTTGGAAAACAAACAACAACAAGAATTCATGGACTCTTTTTGGGAGCTGGAGAGATGGCTCAGCTGTTAAGAGCACTGATTGTTCTTCCAGAGGACCCAGGTTCAATTCTCAGCACCCACATGGCAGCTCACAGCTGTCTGTAACTCCAGTTCTAGGATATCTGACACCCTCGCACCAATGCACATAAAATAAAATTTAGAATCTGTTTGAATCCTAGGGTCTTTCTGCTTCGGTATTATAGCCCTCTGGTCTTACATGATGGGCATTAGTGCAAAGATGGAAATTCCGATCATTCTTGGGCTGGCTTCTTTTGGGGATTGTGACCACTATCCTCCACTCTCCTGAGAAATCTGCCATTCCCTACATCTCCTGAATCCTTGTTGGGTTAGTTCATTGTAGTCTTCCCAGATTGTCAGTCACCTACTCTACCTCTGGTAGCCTTTGTTGGGCCAGTAACCACTTATTTCTTCAGTTTTAGCCACTATCTTGACTAGGATGAGCCACACCCTGGTTGCCTAGAGGCAGCCACGCCTATTCCAAGCTTTCAGGAAAGAACAGTCTGTCACCAAATGTGCTCTAGTAATAAAGTGGATTTTAAATCCCATTGTAAGATGAACAAACATATCAGACTTTTTTTTTTTTGAGACCAGGTTTGCTGTGTTGGTTTTGAGATCAGGCTTGCTCTCTCTGTTCCAGGCTGGCACATGCACATGCCTCAACTTTTCTAGTGTGCCCCACCATTTTCACCCTTCCTGGCTTAAACCTTAACTCAGTGCTGGATGTGCATTGTCTTTTAATTTTCATGTTTTTTGGGTTTTTTAATGAAGAATCTGAGGATTAGTAAGATTAAACAAGCATCGAATGCTGGGCTTGCTTGGTGGTGAATGTCTTTGATCCCAGCACTTGACAGAGAGGCAGATGTATCTCTCAGTTCCAGGCCAGCTAGGACTACATAGTGAAACACTGCCTTTAAAATAAATAGGCAACAGTTTGAGCCTAAAGTCATGTGCCTGCAGTATGTAATGTTCTGTAGCCTATGGAAAAGGAGGATTGGGGGCTAGATGGGTCAATAGGTATAAGTGCTTACTGTCAAGCCTAACAACCTGAGCTTGATTCCTAGGACCCACTTGGTGGTGCATAACCCACATACATACAAATACAATTTTAAAAATTGAAACTTAAAAAAGTTTTATCAGAGCAAAAAAGACTTTGATATTCACATGTGTTCCCATCATCTTTGTTGTCATACAGTCCCTGGATCCCCACAGAGGAGCCAATCTGACAGAGGCCTCTGTCGGCAGAACCAGAGATGGCATCAGTGGATTTCAAGACCTATGTGGACCAGGCCTGCAGAGCTGCAGAGGAGTTTGTCAATGTCTACTACACTACCATGGATAAACGGCGGCGGCTGCTATCCCGCCTGTACATGGGCACTGCCACTTTAGTATGGAATGGAAATGCTGTTTCAGGACAAGAATCCTTGAATGAATTTTTTGAGATGTTGCCTTCCAGTGAGTTCCAGATCAATGTGGTAGACTGCCAGCCTGTCCATGATGAAGCTACACCAAGCCAGACCACAGTTCTTGTGGTGATCTGTGGATCAGTGAAGTTTGAGGGCAACAAACAGCGGGACTTCAACCAGAACTTCATCTTGACTGCCCAGGCTTCACCCACTAACACAGTGTGGAAGATAGCAAGTGACTGCTTCCGATTCCAGGACTGGGCCAGCTAGTGGGGTGAGAAAGGCTTCTTGGCTTTGGCCCAGCTCTGCAGAGAAATGCCAGTCACAAATCTCAGGATGTGGAGAACACAGTTCATTTTGGTTGTCACAGCAGCACTGCAAACTGGATGTTTGAGTCCTAGAAACCCCTTTCCTGGTTATATACTGGTTTTGTCATAGTTGCCTTTTAAAAGTAGTAAACTTTCTATTTTTCTACTTAATCAGTAGAGACCCTGTTTCTGGAAGTTGACAAATAAATAATATAAATGTGGCTTCTCTGCCTTATGTGTCTAAATTTTGAGAAGAGTGTGAAAGGCAGAAAGCATAGTAGGAAGCACCTATAGAGGTGGGTCTGGGATGAGCTCTTACCCCACTGTGATCTTGGTGGATCCAGAGCTGTAGGTGGTAGGTAGTCCTATCCACACTAGAATTCTTAAAACATTGGAAATTTCCTGTCCTGGGCCATATCCCTAGCCGGCACCTCCACTATAAATAAGATCTGGGCATTGGCATTTTATTTTTCAAAAGTACCCTTATCCTAATGTGTGATTTATATAAAAAAAAAAAAAGTTAATTCACCTGATAGTTGGCTTTGCCCCGTAGCACCTGGGATGGGAGTTATTGGTGATATATGTGAAGAGCAGCTGAGTGCTGCTCCTACCAGAAGCACCAAGGTTGGGAGGGGACGTCAGAAGCTGTAACACAAAGCACCCATCTGAAAATTACTTTTCAGTCTGAGCACAAGATTTGACATGTGATTCTGGCCAATGAAGCAGAAGTTGAAGAATTAAACTGAAGGATTGTGTTTCAATAAATGCTCACTTCCTCTCTGAATCCTAGACCACTGGTCATGGCTTCATCATGAATGACAAGCCAATCTGACTGTGACCTAGAGGTGGGGTCCTCATGCAGTGCTCTGGGTCTCTAGTGACCACAAGTGCCAGAGTAGCCCTGTGATATTACTTTGTGTCTTAGCCAGTCATACCTATGAAATAACTCCAAAGCTACATCTAGAGCAGTCAAACCAGTCCTACAGACTTGGTGACAAGATGAGGCTCGAAGTTCAAGCTGAGATGCTACTAAAATGCATAAAAAGGCAAAGTGAGGTTTCCACCATGAATTGACTAAGATCCTAGAACACTAAACATGACCCCTTAGGAAGACACGGGGAAGAAGAATGAGAAGTTAGTGATTTGGAGGGATATGCTGAGCTTTAAATATCCCAAACTGTCACCAGGGGTGACCTTGATAACTGTCCTAGAGTCAAAGAATTAAGTTCTTACCTGCTCAAAATAGCAAGAGCAGAACAGTGTTCGCCTTCCAGGCTTGCAACAGACCATATTCTCAAGGTTCCCAGTTTCCTGGCACTCTGAGAATGTTTGAATCTGAGTTAACATGGTTCTCAAAGACAGCTTTGTGCAATATCCATTCCACACCCAATCCTCATTTCTTTCTGCTAGAGTCCTCCAATTCTCCCTACACCAGTTTCTGTTCCTTACCCCCTACCCCGCCAGGGTTTCCCCTTCTTCCCCCACATCATCCCACCTTTCCTTTTGCCCTCCCTGCCCACCTTTGTCCCACCAGAATGCACTTCACACATGAACAAAAGGCAAGCACACCATACTGTCACCACCAGGCTGTCTGCTGTTGTCAGTCTGCAAACTAACAAGCGCTCCAGGAACCTGGAGAAAGTACTCAGCAAGAAAGGTGGTGTCTTTTTCTGTGAAAGCCACATTTTGTTTTGGAGCAATAAAGGCAAAGTTGGCTTTAATCACAAATTCTCATTTGTAATCTATTTCAAGTTCCCTGCTATGGTGTCTGCCAAATTGAGAAGTCTGGATTGATATAACCTGTATTTTGCTTTAACAAAGACAAGATGCTTTACATTTTTGGTGCTGCCTTGTTGGAAAAGTTTGAAAACTATCTTTACATTTAACAGTAAGGATAAAATTAGTTAATTCTTTGCAAAGTTTTCTTTGCTGTTATCAGTGATGGAGACATAGTAATGACAAAAAACTGGACTCTTATTTTCAAGCTCCCAAGACTTTAGGGACGTCTCTAATTCACGTCCCATATCCTGGTCAGGTGGGGTCACTATCCCTGGAAGGTACTGTGAAAAGTGCTTTAGGATTGGCACTGAAAAGCAGGATGTTGGGAACCAGAGTGAACAGGTTTAGGGGCTGGAGATGGATAATTGCACTCGCTGCTCTCCCAGAGACCCACGGTTCAATTCCTAGGTGTTACAAAACTATTTGTAATCCTTTCCAGCCTCCATGGCCACTGAACCCACAAGTGGTGCACAGACCTAATATGCAGGCAAAACATCCATACAGTAAAATTAATTTTTGTTAAGAAGTGGGCAAGCTTGATCCTGATCCATAGACTGACAGCTTCCCACCTACTGCCAATCCTCTTCTGGTGAACCCTGGCCAGAAGAGAACTAGTAGCACAGGTTGTCTGGGACAACCAAGGTGGTGTGGGGCATGGAGTCTTTTAGGGAGTCCTACTGCCCAGGCATCATTTAGTCAGCCTCAGGATGTACCATATTCTAAACACTTTCAATCAAGATCCAGCTTCCACAGCTCACTAAGATTTATTTGTGAGCAATCAGCACATGGCCCTGACCAGTGGAGTCATGTCATGGTTGATCACAGTACAGTGAATAGAAATGGTAAATACAGGAGGTTGTGTTTTTTAAGATGGGTGTCTCACAACATTGCCCAGGCTCACCTGCTCCTTGTGACTTTCCATGGAATAGCCAGAACTCTATATAGGCACACGCAATTGCACCCATGATTTGGGGATTAGAAAAGTGACTTTGAATCCATAATCCTCAACATGGCAGCCGATACCTCAGCAGAGTCTTGACACAACACCAAAGGCACTGTCTTTCCAAGGCAGCTTATCAGGCCCCTCCTTACCCCTGCTCTGTCAATGTGCTCTGGACCCACAGACATTTTGCTGCTGCTGCTGCTAAAAAGCCAGAGAGGAAATTTAAGAAAGAAGGAAAAGACAAGGAAAAGATGGCAGATGAAAGCCAAATGATAGAGAAAGAATAAAGTCATATACCTACATGGAAAGCAAACCTGAAGATGGTGTCTATTTAAAACGTTTATACCCAAGACGGATTTATGAGGTGGAGAAGGGTATTCACTTACTAAAGAAATTTCAGGTTCTGGACTTTACTAATCCAAAGCAAGGCATTTATCTTGATTTGACATTAGATACGGCATCGGGGGAAAAAGAAAAAAGTGGAGCCATTTGCCATTGTTATTAGTTTACCGTACCCTTTGCTTCAGAAGTCAACAAAGTTGCTGTATTTACAGGGACTGCATCTGAGATTAAAATAGCAGAAGAGAATGGAGCTGCGTTTGCAGGAGGAGCTGACCTGGTTAAGAAGATCTTGGATGATAAGGTTGTTGTGGACTTTTATGTAGCTGTTCCAGAAATAATGACTGAGCTTAACCCATTAAGGAAAAAACTGAAAATAAGATTTCCAAAACTACTAGAAATTTCATTGGTCGTGACATCCCTAAAATGCTTGAATTATTTAAAACTGGACATGAAATTGTGGTAGATGAAGAAAGACAACTTTCTCAGCACCAAAATAGCAACATTGGATATGCCAAGTGACCAAGTAACTGCCAATCTTGAAGCTGTTATATATAAATGAAGTCTGTAGGCACAGACGACAAAATCTGGGCCCATTTGTGGTTCGTGCCTTCCTTCGTAGTTCAACCAGTGAAGGTTTGCTTCTGAAGACTGACTTGCTGTTGCCCAAAGAAGTTGAAACCAAAGAAGCTATTAAAAGTGTTGTATTGTGAAATTATTGTGTGTTGGGGGGGTAAAAAAAAGCAAAGAGAAATCTATAAAACTGTAATTTGTTTGGTTCCTCATGTTTTCTTGATCAATACATTTAGGAGTAAATTTTAACACTAATTTTTTTTACAGTTTCAAAAATAAATGTAATTTTTAAAAAATCCTTTCATAAAAAGAAAAGTGTCTTCCTGACATCAGTAATGTTTATCTTTTGGGAGTTACCAATTTTACTGCGTTTTCAAAGAAACATCTTTGTTTTCAGTTTAGTTGGCGTTTGCTCTTTGTGATTTCCTTCTTCCTGCTTATTTTCAGTCTTTTCAAAAAGTTCTTCCATTGAAAGTGCTGGAATTAGCCTGTGCCCCCACACCTGTTGTATAATTATCACAAGCATCCTTTGTGAAGTGAAAATGGTGAGAACGACAAATGTTCACTAATATGACTATTTTTAAATTACAATGTTGCCACAAGGGAGATTATTTTCAGTCTTAAAATAAATAAGGAGCAGACTTTTAAGTGATAATAGAAGTAGAAAAGCACAAAGTCTGAGGGGAACAGAGTCAGAAACAGCACAAACATCCCAAGAGCCATTCAAGGCATGTTGCACTATTCTCAGCGTATTACTGATAAGGTGATTGATTTGAAAGTTTAAAATGAAATTATAATAAACATGAAAATTCTAGAAACATCTATCAAAATTAAAGCTGTTTCTCAGGCTTCTAGGATCTTAATATTCTATCACCCGGGCCAACATAGTGGGAAGGAGAGAACTGACACCTGCAAGCTGTTCTCTGATCTCTCCAACATATCCTCTTCCCCTAATGTAATTAAAAAAAAAAAAAAAGGAGTCCTCTGATGTGCTTAAAAAGCCAGAGATGAAGCGTTTGGGTTTTGAAATCTGTAAGAACAGTTCAGCATGAGTAATGGAAATAGATAACTTTATAAAAACACACCCCTCTTAATTTGTCTTTACCAAATGCACTTGTGAGAAATGGCTTAACGGGTTGTGTATTGGGGAAATAGTTGAAGTGATAATACGCCCAAATTTAAAGCAGATAAAGACCTGTGGCCTGTTTAAACTCAACTCTTGAACTGACACATAATTGACACACAGGAAAGTAACATTACTAGCAGGATTTTAGAGCCTGGGAATTGCAAATCAGGACACTGCTGCGTGGTTCCTCCACCAACACCCATGCCCGCCCTGCTTTGTCTCCATGCAGAATGTAGGCTCCACCGTGGCGGTGTTTTAGAGACAGGGCTGGGTAACCTGGTGGGGAAGTCAAAAGACCGCAGAGTACAGCCATAGACTCTCACCTGTAACTATTGATAGGATCAAACAGTCAACCTTCAGGAATGAGGGTGCAGCGTCATCACTCCGCGACCATCCAGAACCAATTGTAGGACGGTTCCCTTGGAAACGGAGCGGCCTATCAGCTGCCTGAATCTCCCAGAGT